CAGTGCTAATATTGCATTATCTAGACAGACCACAGTTTATTTAGCCATTCACCTACTGAAGGACATTTGACAGCTTCCGAGTTTTGGCACTTATGAACAGGACTGCTATCAAAATCTGTGTGCATATTTTTGCATGTACATAAGTTATTTCTTTGGACAAATACCAAGGAGCTTAATTGCTGGGTTCTATGGTAAGATTATGTTTCCTTTTATAAGAAACTGCCAAACTCAAGTGGCTGTACCATTTTGCATTCCCATGAGCAATGAATGAGTTCCTGTTGCTCCACGTTATAGACAGCATTTGGTGTTTCAGTGTTTTGGATTTTGGCCTTTCTAATTAAGTGTGTAGTGGTATCTCAGTGTTTCAGTTTGCATTTCCCTAATGACACGTTGTGTGGAGCTTTTTCATATGCTTATTTTACATTTGTATATCTTGTTTGGTGAGGTATCTACTAAGGTCTCTGGCCAAATTTTCATCAGGTTGTGCATTTTCTTGTTGAGTTTTAAGAGTTCTTTGTATATTTTGGATAATAGTTCTTTATTAGCTAGGTCCTTTGTAAATATTATTTCCCAGTATGTGACTTGTCTCCTCATTCTCCTGAGACCATGTTTTTTTTTTTTTAAATTGTATTTATTAGAGAGAGAGAGTCAGAGCAGGAGCATAGGGTGGGAGTGGGGAAGAGGGAGAGGAAGAAGCAGACTACTCGCTGAGCAGGGAGCTTGATCCCAGGACCCTAGGATCATGACCTGAGCCAAAAGTAGACGCTTAACCGACTGAGCCACCCAGGTGCCCCAATCAGGCTCTATTTGGCTTTTGAGCTATTTGATTCCTTAAAATGTCTATCACTATTTGGTGAGACATGTTTCTCAATTTTCTTTTAGTTCTTAAAACATGGTTCTTTAAGGTCTTTTTTTTTTTTTTTAAGATTATTTTTTTGAGAGAGAGAGAGAATGAGAGAGCGAGCACGAGAGGGGAAAGGTCAGAGGGAGAAGCAGACTCCCCACGGAGCAGGGAGCCCGATGGGGACTCAATCCTAAGACTCCAATATCATGACCTGAACTGAAGGCAGTTGCTTAACCAACTGAGCCACCCAGGCGCCCTAAGGTCTTTGAACACATTTTAAAAAGCTTGTTTAAAGTTTTAAGTAAGTAATGTCTGTTCTTTCTCATGGGCAGTTCCTCTTAGTTGCTTTTTTCCCTGGGTATGAGCCATACTTTCTTTCCATGTGTTATATTTTTGTTAAAAATTGGGACATTTTGAATAATGTGCCCAATCTTGGAATCAAATTCTCCCTCATCCCCAGGGTTTATTGTCACTGCTTGTTGTTGTTTGGTGACTTTTCCTGAACTAATTTTGTGAAGTTCATATTCTTTATGGTGTGTAGCCATTGAAATCCCTACTTAATAGTCTAGTGGTCAGCTAATGATTGGATAGATTTTCTTCAATCAGATCTCTCCATTACTGCTGGAGGGTACTGAGTGCATGTTGAGGCAGGTCTTCTACACTCATCCAGGCAATTAGAACTGTCTTAGCCTTCACTTCCTACTTGTGCATTGACAGGTGACAGCTGTGGCCTTCTCAGGTGTTTTCTGAGCATGTACACATGCTTATCCATTTGCATGGCCTTCTAGATCTGAAATTTTTACTGCTCATGTCCTTATGATTAGGACTTATTGTGTCCCGTCCAATAAAATCTGTCTACCTCAAGGTTGCAAAAATATTCTCGTTTCCTAGTGGTTTTTATGTGTTCTTAGTTTTTCTATGATCCATTTTTAATTTTTGGATATTATGAGAACTAAGAGTTGAGGCTTATTTTTTCCATACAGCTATCTTGTTCCAGCACTATTTATTAGATTTCCCCATTGAGATGATTTTGGTGCCTTAGTCAAAAGTCAGTTGACTCTATGTGTGTCCGTCTGTTTCTGGGCTCTATTTTGTTCCAAAGATTTGTCTATTCTTATGCCAAAACCACAGTCTTGATTATTATGCCTTTATAGTAAGCCATCTTTTCAAGATTGTTTTGGTTATTTTAATTCCTATTCATTTCCATATAAATTTTAGTTTATCAATTTTACTGAAAAAACGCACTGGAATTTTGATAGATTACGTTGATCTATAAGTCAATTTGGTAGGAATATTTTCTGTACTGGCTAGTCCATAAATATGGTATTTTATTAAAAACAACTTTGTACTCTAACTTAAAAGATATTCTTTTATTGTGAATATAGCATTGAGCAAAGTACATAAAATATGAAGACATGTCCACATGGCCCAGTTCAAGACACAGAACCCTGCCAGAATCCCTGAAATTTCCTATCTTGATCCCATCCTTGATCATGGTTCCATTCTTTCCCAACCAGATGCAACCACTATCATGACCTTTACAATAATAATTTTCTTGCTTACTTTGTAGGCTTGACTATTTTAAAACTTTACATGAATGGGAATCATGTGTATGATATATGTGCTTATTTTACCTTTGTTCCTCAAAGAACTCTTTTTGTATGTAGAATTCTATAATGGTAGTTACATAATTCCAGCACATTAAATTATCATTCCCCTATCTTCTGACTATAACAAGAAGTTGGCTGGCTATTGATTTAATGTCTTTATCTTCAATTACTTGTAAGATAGTATCTTTCTATTGGTGTTCTGCAGTTTCAGTATGATGTGGATTTTTTTATCCTGCTTTAAAGAAAACTTCTAATATTTTTTCTAACATTTTAAATTGTGTTCAGTAGGAGTGTTGGTCCTGCCATTACTGGAAATGGGAATTAATTTTAATTTTTAAAATAAAACCAGAATGGGGCGCCTGGGTGGCTCAGTCGTTAAGCGTCTGCCTTCGGCTCAGGTCATGGTCCCAGGGTCCTGGGATCGAGTCCCGCATCGGGCTCCCTGCTCCACGGGAGGCCTGCTTCTCCCTCTCCCACTCCCCCTGCTTCTGTTCCTGCTCTCCCTATCTCTCTCTGTCAAATAAATAAATAAATAAAGTCTTTAAAAAATTTTTTTTTAAATAAAAAAAAAATAAAATAAAATAAAACCAGAATCTTACTTTACATACTTCTAACATCTTGTTACTCTCTTTAACTTCCTTTGAAAAATTAATTTATGAGATCTTTTTCATGTAATTTTATATTTTGTTTTTGTGAGTGCATATAATATCACTGTAGGAAAATATCAATTTACTGAATCTCCTATTGTGTATTCAAGTCGTTTCTGATTTTTACTATAATAAATGCCACACAAACTGGTTTAACTTAAAAATTTCTTCACATAGAATAACTAACATTAAGACTTATGAACTCAATGTTACAAATTACATGTGTCCCCACTTAGTTACAGACAAGAGAGAACTGGTGATTAGTTTTGCTCCAGGGGACCCTAGATGGTAAGTCTCTACAAAATTTCCTTGAAAATAAAACAGATGGGGTGACTGAAGCTCTACCCATCCCAATTACTCACCAGCCTTCCAGATTCTCTCAACAACATGTCTAGAGAGATCACTAGCAATTTAAGAAATATGTGAATACAAAAATAATATGATGGAGGACCATTTCAGCCCACAGTTAGCTCCTCTACACAGAAAGCAGACCTTTCATTAATCATGCTGTAATTACTATGAGAAGTATAGAAGGAATCTAATACAAGAGATTTGTATCTTTGGAGGATTCTGATACTAAAAGTGTAAATTCATAAGTATTATCTGTCTGTTGTTCATATAATTATAAGGAGTGGTAAGGGAATTCCTCTTGGCAGCCAGGGTTACTCTAAGAATCTTTCTGTGAAAGAGAAGAGACTACAGTAATTATTGCTTCTATTTTCAACTTCTACTGTAACACAGGACACATATAATGATACTACACTTCTCATAAGAAAAGGGCATACTGTAACTTATTATTTTAAATAAAGCTGATGCTCCATCTAGCTATTTTGGAGTAGAGTGGGAAAGATAGGAACCTTGGCACTTTTTAAAACAACAACAAAAACAAACCAAATCGTTTCTCTGCCTCAAAAAAAAAAAAAAAAAAAAAAAAAAGCACCAAAAGCAAAATTTGAGCTTGCAACACGAGGAAAGTGGTACTGCTAAATATATACAAATGATGAAAGGTTTATCATATTCAAGAATTTTAAAGCTAGTGTATCATCCTGCCTCTGTTATTACTGTTAATCTTTTATTTCAAGAAGCACCCTATTAAGCAAAGCAATTTCCCAGGGAAGCACTTTGCTAATATTAATTGTTGTCCAAACTTCTTTTTATAATCTGCTAACTCAAATCAACACTGTCTTTAGTAAGCTGGTTCCCTTCCCTAGCATATCAAAGCAAAAACAATACTGTCGTTTTAAACAGTTTGTGGGACTTTGGCATGATGCAAATAACTTCTATATCCTGTTTCCTACCAAAAATAGGCATAGATAATAGTACGTTATTTAAAATACAATCCTGAAGAGTCATGGGACAAAGTAATAAAGGCCTTTCCCACAAAACATCCTTTTTAGTATTTGAAAACTTGAGTTAAAAAAGTGTCCAACTTCATCAAATACTTTTCAGAGTATGCTTATGTATTAAAACCATTTAAATTACTGTGAATGCTGTATATATCCAGCTTAAAACATATGAAGTGAGACTCAAGGCTCAGAAAACATGGGATTTAACACTGAAATTATCAATTCCCTGCTCTATGCCTTCATTTAAAATGTAGGAGAAAAAGCAAATCTAGTTATTATAATGACTTTCATAAGTCAACTAGTCATTATTAATGTACTCTAAAGCCAAGTGTGACAATTTCTTTAATTTGTTTTTGACTTTTTTTTAATGTCCTGGACACAAATGATACTTTTAATTCTTTCTACAACTGTAAGTAATGAATTCACTGAGACAACAGCTCACACATCCACCCCACTACCACCATCACAGCTATTAAACAGGACTGCTTGGCAGACTGGAGCTGAGGTTAAAACACCAAAACAAGCAAAAATAAAATCACACTTTACACTCATCTTAGGAGATGAAAAGTTTACTTAGAAATTGCAAACATTTAGCAAACATAAGACATAAACACTATTTTCCATCGTCTACAGAAATACAATAATTTATAGCTGGCTTGGTACATGATCACATGATAAAAACAATCTAATGGAAAAAAACCAGTGGTTCATTCTACTTTTCTGCCACTTGTAACAACTTAATAAGTGTACCAGTAAGTACTGGAAGACAGATGCATAGGAAGATTAGAATCCTAGGGCTGTTTGTTAATACACATTATTATAAGAATAGTATAAAAACAAGTACAGATATACAATTAACATGCAATTTAAGCTATTATTTTGAAGAAACAGGACAGAATTTAGCGAACACATTGAAAAATGTGTTAATAATGTGTTGTTATAATGAGCATATCATGGTATTTTACATGGCATGGAATTTCTTCTTAAATAATGCTTGGCAAGTTGGAACAGATTGAGCTCGTTCTACAGCAAATTTAAAATGAAGACAATGTGGGTAATTCTATTAGATACTTTTCTAAGTATACTAAGTAATTTTTAAAGTACCATGATTTCATGCCTACTGCACCATCTCCCAACTTAACATAAAGTCATACTTTGTACCCTATGAACCCGCATTGTCCAATATAGCAGCCCTTAGCCACGGGGCTATTGGGGCACTTGAAATGTAGCTAGTCAGAACTGACATGCACTGTGAGTGCCAAATGCAAAATGAGTTTTAGAAACTTACCATGGGAAAAAAGAAAGGCAAAATATCTCCATAAGTTTGTATAGTGATTACATACTAAAATGATATTTTTAATATATTGGGTTAATTAAAATACTTAAGCTAATGCCACCATTTCTTTTTTAATACGCCTGCTAGAAAATAAAGAATTAAATATGTGGCTCCCACTTATTTCTACTGGACAGTGCTAATATAAATAATTTACAGTCGACCTATTAGCCTTCGAATTTAGCATCATACTTTAAGCACTCTGGAGAACTAAGTCCCAGAACACCCTCTGCACATACTTTACTGCAAAATTTATTTTTATCCCTCTGCAAGGTATACATTTTAAGTGTAAAAAGAATTCACAAAATACTGAATCCTTAAAAAATGTGAATTAGTACACTGTGAGAGCTAAAAGAACTTTCAATGCAGATTGTTACGTTGAGAAAAATAGCTTAAGAAAAACATCAATGCAATCAGAGGGAAGGCGGTTAGTATCTTCAGTAAAATAAGTTAGCCAAACTTATCTTTAATGCCCAGGATCTGACCTTGCACCACAGATCATACATGTAACTTGTCCATTTAACCACAACCTACAGGAAAATCTTTAAACAACATCAACAGCAACTTACATAGTCCATTTTTGGAAAATCTTCAAGCAATGTAAAGTTCACACACATGGTCAATTCTAATAGCAGAGTACAGATGGTACCTGAGAACCATCCCATAAATTAAAGTCCTGCAGTGTTAAATAAAGTAAGCAACTGCTTAGTGTCCAAGAGACTTGGATTTAAAAATAATTTTTTTAGAGGCTGTAAAAAAATATCACTGACCTTTTATCATTTTCTTCCCCCTCCTCCATTTTTTAGTTTTTGTAGTAGTGTGTATAAATTTTTGGTGTATTTATACCACATTATTTTTTATTCTGTCCACCTCAAATACAAGTTCATCTAGAACCCATTTCGTCCTTCTCCTAAGGACAACACACCTCAGCCCAAACACGGACAGTGGCCACCAGCCAGCAGCCAGCATCCCGGTCAGACACCAAGAACCTCGCCAGGAGGCAGTGCCCCGTTACACTGGGCTATGCGCTCTGTCCCTCCCAGCTCAGGTTGGAATGTTTTTCTGTTCACATTGGGCAAGCTCTGTCAAAAATGCTCTGAAGCCACAAATTAACAGATTCTGAAACAAATATTCATAAAAATTTCTCCCTCATATTAGAGATACTCTGAGAAAACACAGGAGTACAGGTGATTGAATATAACTTCACATTTCATCACTACCCACTTTTAAAACACTGGAAAGCAACCGAGATTTGGGGAGAAATGGACAGTACCTAAGACAGGTAATGCTAGGTATACCAATGCAGAAACTGATGGCAGAAGTCTCCAGCAGTTTCCTCTTGGGTTCAGCAGCCCTATTAAGACATTTACTCACGTTTATTAATGTGTCTTGCACAAAAAGATAACTGCTTAAACTTTTCCCATCTCCTACCTTCAGACCATGTTCTACACAAACAGTATTTTTATTGCATGTTACTAACTCCAGCCTAAATAAGCTTAGTAATTCCTGTCAAATGATAGAATTTTTCAGTTTCAAACATGTATTACTCCAAAAATATACTCCTCCGTGAAAAGGTAACAGTTAGTTTGATGGTAGATCAATAATCGACTATTTATTGAGCACCTACTATGACTGCACTCAGTCTACACTCATTCTTTAACTGATAAGAAAAAAATACCTGCTTCAAACGCAAGATGACACTGGTGAGGGAGGGTACTATTATGAGCATTTCTAATAGAATGCTGTATGAGTCAATATCTGAACGTGTGAAATTGTTCATCCCTAGGACATGAAAAAACCTCAGATTTATTACTAATCACTTTATAGAGATAAATTACATTTGAAGTATGCTGCACGGTACTTTGAGGAAAGTGATGGCCATACATAAAATTAAGGCTGATTCCCTAAAGATATGGAAGAAAAACCAGAATGTCATGGTCCTAATCATCCAAAGACAAAATAATAGTTTACACAAATATCTGGTTAATTCAGGCAAATGGCACTTGTATTAGGTTTCCAACTTTGCTTGGGGGCTGGTTTAATAAAGAAAACTGCCTTGAAATAGGAGCACTTTAAATAAAATAAAAACCCTTTAAATACAATTCTCTGTAAGATCACTATATAAATTCAAGTTCCAAATCTCATTTAAATGTACACACATACATGTATGTGAATACGCACGTATATGCCTTAAAAGTATCTAAGTTTCACTTACGATGTTTGTGCAGTTGTCTATCTTGCCTTGTATGTTTGAACCAAATTGTGTATCTTAAGCACAATACTGTATTTCTCCTGAAGCTGAGATGAGACAGAGGTAAGCTAGCTTTAACTTTCTAGTCTTTAATGATTCTGACCCGTTGGATCCCTGCAAGGTGCAAGGCATTATGCAGTGTACTGAACACATACAGGGTCTCTTTCAGGGAAACTGAAGTTTTAAGCAGCAAAACAGTTGTCAGTTTGAAAACCAACAGTAATTTTCTGAACAGGATTTCCAAAAACAGAATGATGTCAACTAAAACACCCCCAACTTCTGCCAAACGTGGAAAACAATATATTACAGAAATCGTTTCCATAGAAGACATGTGTAAGAGAACATTCATAATAGGGCCACAGGGACTGAAGCAGCGAGATGAACGAGGCAGTCACAGAGCATCTATGAGCTACCGCCCTGGTAGTGGTTTATAAAAAATACTATCTATACTAAAATTTTAAGAGCTAGTAATATATTTAGCATAGTTTTGTCTTTTCTTTTTTTTGCCACTGAATATAAAATTTTGTCCTAAATTTACTAAACCTTCTACACCCTGAGGAATAACAGATTAATAAAAGAAATGCCAGGGTTAGCTTTGTGGACCACAGTATCATCCAAAAAGCACAACCTATAAAGAGCTAATTCTTGGAAGCACAAAGTTTCATCTGCAGACTAAGCTACTGCTCTCTTTTTTAGCAAAGAGTTTGGTTTTAAGTGTTAACATGGCCTAGCGAGAATACAGATGTCCAAGTTGAGAGCCAGAGGCACCCCCTGCAACACACACACATACATACACACACACACACACACACACACACACCCCAGATTTACAACCGACACAATGGTTTTCTGTCTCCACTATGAACTATGACATATTGCTGCCGTTTAGGAATATATTATTCAACAGTCCTCTGAAAAGCACTTTGGAATCTTTAGCTGTATATTTTTATGAAATTACAAGTTATTTGCTATCTTGAAATAGGGACTTTCTGTCCCTCCCTTCTCCATACCCAAATATATATAACATGCCACATTTTAAGTTTCATCTCAGTATTTACTTCTTCTCCTCCAACATGGAATTTGGGAGGGAATTCTTAAAAGTCCTTAAGGTGAGGCAAAGGATTCATTTAGAACAATCATTTGGCCTTTCTTGTAGGGCACAGTGCCACTGTTTCCCTTGACCTTGGGCTGCCTGGGCTGCCCGGGCTGCCCAGGCTTCAGGCTGATCTTCAATTATACACATGCTCTCCTCTAAAATACAATGCCTCCAACCCCCAAAAGGTTAGTTGCCACAAGGAAAGAATGAATTCTTCTTGGTAGGGTCCTTAAAAATGCTAAGAAATACAAACCAAAGCATCCTACCTGCTCATATCAGTACCTCATGAAAGGATAAAAACTCCATGGGACCATGCCTAGCAACTGGAATCAATACAATGAATTACAATCAACTGTCTGATAAAACTTCCATCCTTTGTTTTCTACCTAAACATTAAATATGATCTTGTTCCCTCTAGAAAGAAGAAAGGCACTCAAATTAACACAGTATGTTTAACTATTTTTTAAAAGACCTTGTGTGACAAGTAGAATTTTCAGGGTTGATTGTTTTCCTGCCCACTGCCTTCATGCCACTGCATTTGTCTATGCCTTCCTGGGACTCCACGTACACCTCCGTTCGACAGGAGTACACCGAGAGTATGTGCAGGCATAGGGAGGCGGCAGCATGTCAAGTACCAGAGTCTGCACGGTTCTGTTTGAGACATTTATTCAGAAGACACACGTTGTTAATAATGCTGTTCGCATTTTCTAGAATATTTTAAATACTTTAAAGTTCTAAAATATAATTTTCTAGTAACAAAATAACTGTAAGCTTACAAAAACTTTCTGCCAAAAAAAAAGAGAATATATGTTACTTCCTTTTTTAACTAAATCTTTAGTATCTTCTATAATTAAGAGGGACTAAAAGATTACCCTGTTGTACAGCAAGAGCCAGTTGTACTCCTAAATTACATTTAGGCTATGCCAGATACCATCTTGTGCTACAGAAAATTACTACTGTTAATTTGTTCTCAACAGTATTAAAAGTTCTCTTTGTATAATAAGCATGAATTGACATGACCTGAATACATGGAAATCACACAAAGTCTACCACTATATATGCTTTCCTACAAACTGCCACAGAAAAGTCCAGGAACTTTTGTTTTCCCATCTTGTGTCACATAAGCCCTCACCTGAAGATTTAAATGGCTTTGAGTGACAACCTGTATGGATTTAATCCTATTCATAATGAAGTCCTTAATTTAATTAGAACCCTACCATAGGAGTAAGGGATATGACTGAGAGTCTGGGCCCAGGGTTTCCAAAGAGGTAACAGAATGCTAAAACCTAGAAAAGAAAAAGGGGACATTAATAGGTAACTAATCCTTAAATTAAAAAAAAAAAAATGACTCACATAGGTTTAAGAAATACCTAAAAAGGCCCACAGTTCAAGCTGGGGAGTAGAAAAGGAGAAGCATAAAATGACTATCCGGGCACAAATACAGATCAACAAGTCTTTGAAATCAAAGAATTTCTTCAAATGCCCCAGTGTCTCTGGCTCTGTTGGCAAGATCTGTCCTCCAGTATCATAACTGAACAGAAAGTAGTGTTCTTAATGCAAACGAGCTTTGTTCTATGAATTTTTAATATATATTTAAAGTACAGTTAATTCATAATTATAGACCTGCATTTCTTGGCTGGTATTTAACGAGTTTAAACAAGGTATTTAAATGAAGAAAAAAATCTAAATTAACTTATTGTTTATGTAATAGCTCACCGGAAGTATCATGAATCTAGACTACATCATTCATTCACAGTCCATTATTCTAATCCATTAATTTCTCAGTCATAACTCATTCTGTCCATTACTCATGATCAATCTTTCCCTTCTTCAAACAGATAATCATTTATTAATTTGATAAATATTTAATGAGTCCTCACAATGTGCAAGGCACACAGGATAATGTGGGAACACCATATTACCAAAATAGGTATACTTAAAAAAAGGTGGGGTGGGGGAAGAAGGTGGTGGTGGAGGTATTTACAGATCTTATTGCTTTTGGCTTGTCAGTAGTATTCTTGATCCACAGGACAGTACAATGGCCTACTATTCTTCCAATGAAAACTTTGATGAAACGTGTGTCAATCTAAACTGTCTTTTTGACAATGACATATTTATAGGAAAAAAAAAGATTAACGTGTCCCTGAAAATAGACACACCTTTCCACTGCATGAACTCATTCAGTCAAAGAGATATTATCACACCACAGCTAATGAGTGTAGATGTCAACCATCTAGGAAAAAACACAACCATACAGGGCAATACTAAGTTCTTCTGTGAATGAACACTTGAAAAATGCCAATTTTAGAAATAAAGTAGCACACAAAAGTCACACAGTAAATGTCCTTTAGATATTTGTATTTTTACTCCCTACTCAAAACTTTTACGGGAAGACAAGAGACCAAGATATCTTATAGGACTGCATGGCTTCATGAAGGGGTGGATTAAGGGCCTGAACACACATGAAGACAGACAACATCAAAGGTGGAGGCTATAAGAAGGCGTGAAGCACTATCAAATGGAGCTGATGTTTCACAGGGTATTGTCTATGCTCCTGTCCTGTCACTCTCACATCAAAGCATAAGAAGCCCTATTACTTGGGATACTTAGAATGACGTGTGGAAAAAAGGTAATACTGAGTGAGGCCAGGATTTGGCAACATGTATTTAGTGGAATGGGCTGACTCTCTCATGTCCTCTCTGTGTAGTCTCCCCACCATCCCCTGCAGGTGCTGAAAATCACGAACTAATGCTTTTATCCATAGAGGTCTAGGTAGACCTTGAGGTATTTGATTCAAAATATGCTTTGTACACAAAGGGCCATGGAATTATGTTCATAATGACAACTGTTTTCTTACCTAAATACTACGAAAACTATAAAAGGTTAATTTTGCCCTAAGAGAGAAAAGCAGCTTCTGTCTACAAGAACCGGGCTGAACAATTTTTCTGGTGTTCTTAAGTCTTACCTGACAGTTTGCTATTCAACAAAATCATGATGCACAAAAAGAACTTATGCCTCTCCTAAGCTTAAGGCAATGTACCTCACTCAAGCCCAGGGTTTCCATAATAGAAGACAGGAGACGTTTGCCTTTCCCTATGTCTGTCCCCTCACCCTACAGGTGACCTAGCAAGTAAAAAGAACAAGCAAAGTACGGCGGTCGTACTTACTTCGGCCACTATTACATTCTGCCCACACATAGGACAATAGGCAGTTTCCATGGTTAGGGGAACTTTTAAAGGGGCAGTTCATATTAATACTGTGTGTGTGTGTGGTTTGTTTAATGGGGTATGAAATTCACTGGAAAGAGGACGGAGAGTATCTTCAGTACACATCCTCAAAATAAGACATTTAAGGAAAAACAGAGGTAAAAGTGTCAAAAAATACGAAATGGATTAGGAAAATAAAGAAAAGGTAGGTGGAGAGGAAAGAACAAACACAGACCATTTACAAAGGGGAAAATATATTAAGAAAGTAAACATTACCAGGCCCTTTTCCCACCCTGCCTCACAGACCTGAAAAACCCAGCCCTTATTATTAAAAAGATAAGATACAGCTGTGAGGTGGCTACTTTGGTACCTCATCCCTGATAAGTTTAATATCAAAGTCTTTAAGTTGTTTTATTTTTTAAAACAAAGGTTGAAGAACTAACCTTCAAAAGCTATTCTTTCCTCTGGCATTTACCAGCAAACTTTTAATAATCACTTCATAAACATTTTGTAGTTTAAGTATATCCTCAGGAACTTAAATTTTTAAAAAGGAAGATTTTTATGGATACATTTCCATGCATATTTTCCCCACTTTTCATGGTGAATTTAAAAGGAAAATAAGTAGTAATAACTAAAAATGGCATTCCAGGTTTAAATAACAAATGATGTTTATAGGGGCTAACTTGAGTGTTTTTGGCCTATACCAAATATGAGGTAAAAAGAATCTATCAAAACTAGTGATAAAAATAATTTCCCAGTCCTGTAATTACATAAACTTTTAAAATTCATTTTTCTTTTAAAATAACCATTTTAAAATGGATTACACATTGGAAGCATGTTTCTTATATAAATCCCAGTACTTCTGACTTTGGTTACATTGGTTGATAACTTGAGTCGAGAAAGAGAAATGATTTATATTTTCACAAATCCATCTATCCGGCCATTTGATTCTCAAAACAATAATTAGATATAATTTTGAGCTTGTATTATTCTAAAGATGAACAACAACATGAATTTTTAATTAAAAAAAAAAAAAGAAACTAGCCTATGCAGCAATTGCACTGAGGTGGGTAGATGTGTCTGTGAACCAGTTAGGAGAACCAAAATGAGAGGAAGCTTCACGTATAGAAATATAAAGGATGAAAAGTTAAAAAAAAAAAAAATTAAGACTGTTTAGCAGGAAGAAACTACACAGTTATTTTATCCCCAAAGGAATGCCAGTTCTTAACAAAATAAATAAACTGAAAGATTTACTATGGACTTTTAACCTAAAGATGAAGACCACATAATAGCAAACAGTTCATGCAACTATGTAAGGAAGAAAGGAAAGCAATATTGCACTGAAAGGGGAACCTTGCAGGACTAATCCACCTCTTTCATTGACTCAACGTAACCAGCCATTTCCTGTATGCATTGGCAAACCTGGCCTGCTCTACGTTCCGGCAGGTGGACAATACTTGATCGATGAACCTATGCTCCATTTCCAGGCCCCGGGAGTCTGGAGCTGGGGTCCGCTTCAGGCGTTTGGTTTCCTGGGAATAGCCTTGCTTGCTACAGTCATTCAGCCCGTCCACCTCCATGGCCTGAGACACGTGTGGGCCTGCTGGGATGAGGTGCAAGTCACTCAAAGTCCCTCCAGGGCTGTCTACAGGTGACAACTGGGTCACACTGTGAGGAAACCTACCACTTAAGTGATGCTGAAGGTAGAAAACGTGCCGCCTGTGAAGGAGGAGGGGGGAGGAAGAGAACACGGAAAAGAAAACTCATTATCACAACGTCAAGCTTTTCAGGGAAAAAAACAAGAATAATAAGTTGATAATTTCAAGACATACAATACTCAGTTTGCTGTCCCCCTTGGTGACCAGAGTTACCTGGAGCGGGGGGAGGAGCAATTACGCTGAAGTCTCTGTATTTAGACCAGAGTCTTACAAACCCAGATTACTGGATTGTTTGTGAGAAAGAACCCTACATACGACCCCAAGGGTTTTTTAATACCACTGACTGAGATGATGACAATCACTTGGAATTGTTACTCTTTGTAACTACAATATAAAATGAGAAATAGATCTTAGCCCAATTTCTGCTATAAAAAAACAAAACAGAACCAAAAATTAACTTCACTGACATCCTAAAACAAGTGATTCAGGAATAACGGGATTAAATAGCTCATCCAGAGGCTTTTAGTCCATGGCCTCTTTCTAGTATTTTCTTTAATAAGAACAGGTATTATCTAAAAACCAACTGAACTTTTCCTGAAATCCATCACTACAGTCTCATTAAGTATCTACATGCAGTAGGGATGTGCTGGGCTCTAAGCAAAGCATTTAAAAGACACAGCTCTTGTACTTCCTCTAAGGAGAGCAGTTCTCCTGCCCTTAGACTCATCTAGAGTTTTTTGTTAAAAATGAAGACCTATGTGCCTAATCTCCCAAAATTTTGACTCCGTGGGGGTGCACATCTACTGTTCACAATTGGTAAACCACATAGATTCTAGGTTGTTCTATCTCATTATTCGTATTAGCAACTCTAAGCCCTTGAGAGATAATTCTGTTCATTTTCCCAGCATATTCTGGAGTAGACAGGGAGCATATAATTTACCCATTTTATAGAGGATAAATCTTAAAGGACAGATAAGGTGCCTAAGGGCAATGACTCAATAGTAGAAAACTGGCCTGTATAATTACAGGTCATCTCAACTGTCACTTTTCCCCATGCCTCACCCCAAACTTAATCTTTATACAAAGCTTCTGCTGTTAATCTAGCTATCTCTTAAACACAAATACAATCTTAAATTTTCTCAGCCTTGCTACTGATGTACCTAAATATAGAATACCAACAAAATCTGTTCACACCAAAACAACATGAAGTTAAGATCTATCTTCGCTCTAGAAAATGTGGAATTAAGAGTGTCTTGTTTTTACAAGAAAAAGAAATTTTTTTATGAAGGTGCCAAAGAGGGGAGATGGTCTTCCATCTTCTAAATACATGTAGCATGGAATAGCAGCTGAACACATCTCCTCAAATAGCCTACAAGATAGACTAGACTGGCAAAAGGGGGCAAATCTCAACAACTTTAAAAATACACAAATATTTAAACTGCCTACCTCCTGCCTGGCACAGGCAAGCCCTTTGTTTACAAATAGAATCCTCTAGTCTGAAGTAGAATCCGTATTTATAGAGATGGAGATGCCTCAAAAAAAGAACCAATCAGGGGGTTCCCACACCCGGACTTCATTCCAACATGACAGTTACTATGCTGTCAAATGTACTCAGAACTCAGGTTATGAGGTTGCTAATTTCTTTCACTCCTTCCTAATAATTCTGCCCTCCTCCCAAAGCACACTTTAAAAAACAAAAAGTGTCAAGAGCTTATACTTAAGGAAACTTAATTTGCAGACCATCAATAAGCTTAACTATTCTCAAGGTCTAATCAATAGTCTAAACCCGACTCTGCATCACATTTACCTTTTAAGTTTCTTCATTGTTTTTTAAAGACTAAATAAATGGCAGCGCTCTACCCCAGATATACTATAAATACCAGAATCTCCAGGGAGGGAGTCCAGAAACTCGTTTTCAGTTTTGGAAGTAACACAGGCTATTCTGTTGGGCAGTCAAGCTTGAATACCACCATCCTAAGCATTAGGCAAAGATCCGCATGAGGAATCTCATATTGAAGATCATGAGGAAGAAGATATGGTAACATAAACGCCTCTGAATTCAGGCAAAGCTCCACGATCAATTACCATATTTACCTGAGCAGGCAGGCATAAGACTTAAGACCTTCTACAGCTCTCATAAAGCCAAGCAGTTCCATGCAGAAAATAGATTTTCCCTCCTCTTACCTGTGACACCAAAGGGTTTCATGTCCTGGGTAGGAATCAATAAGATCAGTGCTGAATTCAACTTCTTCTTCTAGAAGATGGGGAAGATTTATCCTTGCTTCCTCTGTTGAAGCTGCTGCTTCATCTTTTGGAAGAACTAGAGCTGGCTCACTTCTCAAAGGGTTTTGCTCCAATACAGAACCATCTATCACAGTTTGGCTAATCAAAGACTTTAACAGAAACTGGCGGTAGTGAAATCCACTGTGGTCTGAAACATGCATGGATGCCCAGTGTTTAGTAGAAGACAGTTCATCAAGAAGAATCTTGTAGGAAGAAAAAAGGGAAGTGAGAAGAGGAACTGCCAAAGGAATTTCTTTCTCCATTAATGTTTTGGATTTCTCTTTAATTTGTTCCTTGTATTTTTTGGTAACACTGTTTCTACCAATATTTTGTATACAATGTCCAACACAGTGCTGTCACTCAGTGGAAGCTCAGTAAAGGCTAGTTTCCCCTTTCCCTAATAAAGTAGTAAGAGGTATATATATATATACACACACACACATACATATACACACCCTACAGAATTTAAGGACTTATGTGTCATTCTTTCTCTGGACCTTGATCAATCACATTCTGATTGGCACACACACAGAAAAGCTATTCTAAAATAACGATGAACATTAGGGTGTTTATTTACAAGAATGCTGATGTTGAAGAGAAAATATAAATTCAAAGGTTACTTTGATGAACGTTCTTTAACTTTTAATGAACATTACAATATCTAACTTACTATGTGTTGAACAATTGACTCAATGTATTATTAGTTCTTCACTATAAGTGCCATGAGGGCAGAGACTGTCAGTTTTGGGCTTAGTACAAAAAATATGATGCAAGAGCACATGATTTTCCTATTCATCTCAAACTCAATTAACATCAATGATAAATGATTTTTTTTAAGTAGATGAGACAAAATTCAGCAGTGAATTAAGTCTTTGTATTATCAATCCTGCAAACTAAGCAACTTCAAATGGAATGATTAAAAAGAAAAGCAGCAGTTATGAAAAAATAAATTATTTGGCAGTGTCTTGGACAAGTCGCAAATGCAAATGGAATTTGATCAGCAAAAGCTGTATTGAGGGCCTGCCACATTCCATCAGAGGATTTTCAGACCAGCTAAGGAAAAAAGACATTTACTTGCCAGCAGTGAATAATATAGACAGCACAAAGCCCAAGGGCTCCTCCTTTAGCTGCTTTTCAAGGGTCCCAGGCAAATGCCTTCTCTTGTACCAAGATCCCCTCCATTTCTCACAGTTCCTCTCTTCCCTAGAAGAAATCTTTCCCTCTCCTGAACCTCCATGGTTCCTGTGTGTTCTACCAGACATTATAGAATTTTCTGTACATCTTTTCATCCCCACTAAATTCTACAAGTTGTTTAAGATATTTATTCATTCCTAATTAATGTTTCCATCATTCTATACCCAATGGCATCAGAGTGAACATATAAGTATTTTATGAATGAATCAATGAATGAAATGAACAATTTAATGAATTAAGTTACTAGTACATAGGGACAAGATTACTCCCAGCAAGGACAGTCGATTTCTATCAGTGAAATGCTTTAAATATCTCCTTTAAATTCTAATGAGTTTATTCAAAGCCAAATAGGTTTGTTCCAGAGCTGGTGAATCTCTGAGAAATGGAAAACAAGACTGTTCATTTGATTAAAATGGTGAGCAAAACAGCACCAGATAAACTTCTACCTTAGAAAAATATATACTAACCTTAAGGTTATTACATCTTTGAAGAATTAACCTGTGGGACATTTAGGCAATAATACATCAGCTTTTTAATTTTGGTAGGGCTTCTTAATATGGACTGGAAAGAGTACAAAACATGTTTAAAAGGAATTTACATAACAGGAAAAACCTTTAGATTATTTCTTACTGCATAGTTCTATACATAAAATTTTTATTTTAATTTTGAGACAAAAAATAGCACATATGTGAAAGATTTTCAACATGAATTTAATTCCTTTAAAAATTTTTCTCAGACTTTTTAAGAGAAAAATTCACTATATTCTTTTCCCTTGATATATTTAATAGGTATACTAAATGAGAAAAGAAACTTTAACAGGAATTTCAGGGCATTTTTTACTAGAATCAAAAGGTACAGAGATATAAACAATTATTTAAAAAAAAAACAATTACTTTTAAAGTGATCTTAAAGTCACTGCATAGAGATAAGGCTTAAATGTAAGGTACTGACAGGATCAATGACCTGTCTATGACAGAACTTACATACCATCATTCTTTTTCAATACTCCATACAAAAAAATGAATGAGTGAACAAATAAGTACAAGAGAACTACAGAAGCAGGGCTATGACACAGAAGGATTAACAGGTTTAAAATCAAAGACTATTGAAAATGCTCATTCCTACCTATATATGCCTTCCTTCCTAGAAATTTTTAAAAATAACATTTGGTTATTTTCTGATTATGAAAGTGATACAAAACGATCATTCTAGAAAATTCCAGAAATACAGGGGCGCCTGGGTGGCTCAGTCGTTAAGCATCTGCCTTCGGCTCAGGTCATGATCCCAGGGTCCTGGGATCGAGCCCCGCATCGGGCTCCCTGCTCAGTGGGAAGTCTGCTTCTCCCTCTCCCTCTGCTCGTGCTCTCTCTCTCTCAAATAGATAAATCTTTAAAAAAAAAAAAAAAAAAGAAAATTCCAGAAATACAGAATACAAAAAAACAAAAAGAAATCACCCACTATCCTGTTGGCCACAGAGAACTACTCTTAACGTTCTGGCCAATCACCAATCTTTCAGCTTTTTTCTATGCATAGCGTGTGTGCAGTTTATTTGTAACACAAATTTGGGATATTCTTTTATGCTGATTTTATTCCACTTAAATCATATACATATATGTCATTAAATATTACTCTGTAATTTTAAACTTTTGTATAATATTTCATCCCAAAGATTATCCTTCATCATTCATTTTGTTTCTACTCTTATATAAGTAACACTCTTATGAACACACATATATATAAGGTCTATGTGCACAACTTATTTATTTAGGAGAAATTTCTAGATGTATATTTACTGAACAGTGAAAAACATTTTATTAAGTTCTTAATATATATTGTCAAAGTGCCCTCCAGAAGGGCTGTATAATTTACATTCCTACTGGAAGAACGTGTTATATATTTCTTAAATTCCTTACCAGTACTTTAATCTTCACTAATTTGATAAATGGCAAATCAGGTCATTTTAATTTGCATTTCCTTTTGTCATTAAGGCCAAACAATTGTTCTTATTCCCTTATTTTTCCTGTTTCTTCTTATACAAATTGCCTACTTTGCCCAATTCTCTTCTTTTATAACTGCCTAATTTACTATTTGTGATAGTCATTAATTTCTCTTAAGGGTCTGTAAGAGATCTTTATAAAGATGTTAAGTTCCTAAATTGCAAATATTTTTCTTAATATATTACTACAATTAATTTTTTTAATTCCATTTTTTTTCTTCAGGTATGTTTTTATTCCATTTAGAGTTCATTTTGGTATAGGAGATTAAAACCTCAATTATTTTCTAAAAGGTCAATCTTATCAGCATCACAAACTGAACAAAGAACCCTTTCTCCAACTATGTGAAATGCCATACTTACCATAAATGAAATCTGTACGCATTAGATATTGGGATTTGCTTCTGGGCCTTAGATTTTTCCATTACTGTTTTTATTTTTGAGCCAGTACCACAGATGACTCTGTCTTTATAAACATTTAGATATATACTGGTATTGATACAATGTTCCTCATTTTTATTTTTTCCCAACAATTTCTTAGCTATTCTTGAAGGTTTATTCTTTCTAATGTACTTTAGAACCAATTTTTGAAGTTGAAAAATAAACTGGTGATTTTCAGTATAATCACAGACTTGTGCAGCCATCACTGCTATCTAATTTCAGAACATTTTCATCACCTCCCAAACAACCCCTATTCCTATAAGGAGTCCCCTAAATCTCCATTGGCTCCAGCCTCTGGCACCCACTAATGTGCTCTGCCTATTGTGAATGTCATATAAATGGAATTCTAGAATATGTGGCATTCTGAATCTGGCTTCTTTCCATCAGCATGTTTTCAGGGTTCATCCATGTATCAGGACTTCATTTCTTTATGGCTGAATCACATCCCACTGTATGGATATACCACATTGCATTTATCTACTCCTCAGATATTGGACGTTTGAGTTGTTACTTTTTGGGGGGGCTATTATGAATTACACTGTTACAAACATTGCTGTAACAAGTTTTCAATTCTGTGGGGTATATACCTAAAAGTAGAACTGCAGGGTCATATGTGGTAATTCCAGGTTTAATTTTTTGAGGAAATGCCAAATCGTTTTCCACAGTGGCTGCATCATTTCACATTCCTACCAGCAATGTATAAGGGTTCCAGTTTCTCCGCATCCTTGTCAGCACTTTTAACTTGTTTTTTCATTTCAGCCATCCTACTTGGTATGAAATGATATCTCACTGTGGTTTTGATTTGCATTTCCCTGATGGCTAATGATGTTGAACATCTTTTCATGTCTTTATTGGCCATCTGTTATGTCTTTTTTTGCAGAAATGGCCCTGTGTGCTTTCTCAGGTGACATACCATTATCAACTTTTAATTGGCTAGTAGTAATAAATTCTATTCAAATGTGAGTCTTTCCTCTCACCCTACCCTCACAAATGAGACTGTTTTAAAATTTACTTAAATAAATGTCTACCTAAAACATACAATCACCATAGAAAACAAAACAGAAAATGAAAATGTCATAATTCCACCCTCTAGCACTGTTCACAATTCTTTTTTTTTTTTTGACTAGAAAATGAATATGTGTTTATTATGGAAAACACAAGCCAATAGATCTGTAATAGCACTGTATGTGTATATATATATATATATATATATATATATATATATATATATATATATATGTTAAGCAGTTACAATATGCCAAGCACTGTTCCAAACACTTTAAAATCTCATCCAAAGCTAATAATATATTAAAAAATTATATTAGGACCATCTCATATTTAGTTTTAAAGATCCTTATCCTATAGTGAACTTTTTCTTTAAATAATCTTCTAAAATATAATTTTTAGTAGCAACAAAATATTCCAATTTGTGATGAACTGCAATGTAACTAATCTGTTATTATTGGAGGGTTAGAGTGGTTCTATTATAAAGAGCATTTTCATATATCAAACTTTCATATTTAATATAATAGCCCGTGTTTATTGAACACTTAGTACAAGCACTTCTGACGGCCACTTTACGTGGATTTTCCCATTTAATTCACATCACTCAATGAGAAAGGATAGTACAGTCAGGATTCAAATTAGGTTTGTCTGACCACTGAGTGGAACCTTTAATTACTACACCACCATACTATATCTCCCAGTATTTCTTTAGGATGAATTCCTACAGGCAGAACTACTAGATTAGAAAGAACACACTTTTTTGGTAAAGTCTGATAAATGCTGCCATGTTGTCCTTCAGTAAGATTACAACAATTTCTACAATGCTTGTTTTCATAGCCTTATCAATGCTGGATACGAGTACTTTAAAAAAAAATATTTTCGGGGTGCCTGGGTGGCTCAGTTAAGCGTCTGCCTTTGGCTCGGTCATGATCTTGGGGTCCTGGGATCGAGCCCCGCATCAGGCTCCCTGCTCAGTGGGGAGTCTCCTTCTCCCCCTCCCCCCAGCTTGCTGTCTCTTTCTCAAATAAATAAAATCTTTAAAAAAAAATCATTTTCAATTTCCTAAGTAAAAAGATGCCAGCTCATTTTATATGTATTTTTAAGCTGCTTTAGACCGGTGGTACTTCTGTGATTACTTCCTCTAATAGACAAAGCATAGTAGGGCATGATCTCCTAGCTGGGCCCACTGGCTTCTAAGAACAGAAAGGGGATTTTGCAAATTCATCACTCTCACTGAGAGAGCTGCAGTGGCAGAGGGGAAAGGAAGGGCATGGAGTTCAACCAAGGGCAGGGCATAGCTGGTGGACAACATGTGAGCCTAGGAGCAGGCCCAGGCAGCTGAGTCAACACACCACTAATGAGCTGTCATCTTCAACATCGGATAGTCTCAAGAAACCAAGAATTTCACCTTGGCCCTGTGTTCCTGATTTTATGGGAATGCCACTTTAAAAGGTCCACATCAAGGCAGGCAAGTCTCCGAAGACTGCTCAGCTCACCTGGACTCCGCCTTTCTCTTTATCCTTCATGCTCCTCATGCCCCTCCCACCCCCTCCCCACTATCAAGTTGTGGAGCTGAGATGACCAGACTCCCTAAAGACTCCCTATCTCCCACATCCCACCAGATGACTTGGACTCCTGACAACGAGGCAGCCTTCCTTCTGGCAGCTGCTCCCAGTGAGCCCAGCCGGGATGAGAAGCCATTTCTGTGCTCCCAAGGTCCCCTGGGCTTCCTTCAGTGCCTGCAAGTGTCAGACTGCTTTGTGACTGTTCGTATCTGTTCCCTCAACTAGATTCTCAATTTGCTGAGAGCAATCTCTTGATTATTATGCCACACCCAGCATACAGGGCAGTGTCTGGGAATGAAAGAGTTTCAGTACTTTTTCATGGATAAATTATAATGAGTTGATCGAGCAAATTGGGAGTCAGTTTCACCTAAACTTTCTATCTGTGAGGAACAGAGAAAGGAACTAAAATTTAGTGAGCCTGTTAGGTGCCCAGTACTTTACACACATTAACTCAAATAATCTTCACAATAATCCACTGAGGCAGACAGTGGAGCTGGTATTTCACAGATAAAACATGAAAGCTTTCCACACATAGCTAGTGAGGCCAAAATCTGAAGCCAGGTCAGGAGGATTCTGTCTTTGCTCTTTCCACTCCATCACGGGGACTCCCGTCCAGAAACACAAAGCCAATATAAACTGGAGGGGAAGCGCTACTCTTTCAGAACTGTTGGCTTAAAAGTCCCCAGAAATGAAAACTCTTAATTTACCCTGGAGGAATCTCTGGCTAGGACACAGAGAGGGGAGAGGGAACCTGGGAAGGGAGATGGAGGAAGGGGCTGGTGAGCAAAATGAGAGCGTGCTTCCGAATTAATCTGAAAATACCACTTAAGGTATTTTGACCCCTTTAAGTTGTCTTAAGCCTGAGATGCTTTCAGGGCAGTACCCTACATTCTTACGGCACTTAAACGTAAGAAGTGAAGAAAAATATAGAGAAGCTATAGTACGAAGAAGGAACCAAAGGATACCTGGTTCTCATCCTGATGAACAGTAAGTGAAGGCACCCCATTCCTTCCAACCCAGCTCTGCCTCCAGATAACCCCCTGAGCCCTGTGAAAAGTGTTTTTCTTAAATCCAACCCTTTCCCCAATTTAGTAGGCCTGGGGTGGGACTCCGAAATCCGAAGGTCCTTTATAGACAAAGACAAGTTTGGGACTCCGAAATCCGAAGGTCCTTTATAGACAAAGACAAGTTAGACTAAAAATGTCCAACCCAAAGGTTACTAGAAATTGAGTCCCCAGGAGAGGGGACGGTGAGAAGGCAGCCAGCTGATTGAGCACATTAAGTCACATAACCAGAGCCCACCAAGAAAGAACAACTCCAATGCTATAAGGCCTAATAATCCCTTCCTATTCCGGGACAAAATGAATTATGCTCCATCGTCTTACTGCTTAAACTTGCCTTCGTTCTACAATGTACTAACCTGAAGAGTGCCAGAAACCGCACTGGTGAGGAATGCAACCTTTTTTTTAAATTGCCAGGGTTTCCTTGGAGGTATCAGCTGCTAGATCCTCCCCAGGCCGCTGGGCCATTAGCTCCTCTACTTGCCTCCTTCAAAGCTCCTCTGAGGAGGAGCTGCTATCAGAAGACTTCAAGGGCAGACAGGGACTGTGCCTCGGGAGACGAAGCGCGGCCTTACCCTGACGTCCAGCTTCGCCAGGTGCTGGAGAACCCAGATGCGATGGGACCAGGCGTTGTAGTTGCTCGGGTATCTCCCCGCCGCTTCACCACAGACCTCCATCTCTTCTCGGACCAGTCTCTGTGTCCTCTCCGCAGGAATTGCTGCTGGGTTTCCTTTCGTCACAAAGGCAGGCAAGGAGGTTTCCTGAATTAGCTGTTGTAGCACCCATCGCCTGTGAAGGTACACATGGGAATGAGAAAGAGGAAAGAACATAAACCAGAGAGGAAAACAACCAGTCTTCTTTGTTCTCAATCTCCACCCATACAATGCAAACTAATCCCTGTCTATGAGCCCAATTTGGGGGGAGGGGGATTATTCTGTTGTTTTTGTTGTTAAAGATGTCATTAAACTTCAGCACCACTGACCGGGAGGAGGGTGAAGAAAGGACAAACAGGAAAGAGAAACCTTTCTAAAACATTAAAATTTGTCAGAAAGAGAATGCTTCAGTTCCGATATGACAGCTCCAAAACTCCATTTGGCCAGAAAATGCAAAGATGGGGTGTGTACACGGAAGGGGGACTGCGGTGGTTGTGGTGCAGGGGATATTAATTAATGGCTGGTAAATACCAGAAGAGGAGTCATGACTCACATCTTTAATTACATGTGCATGCCTCACCCTATGTGCATTTGCTTGCAAACAAGAAGCTGCATTATGACTGCTTTCATTAAGCAGAATTTCTATGTTATAGCACAGAATCTGGAAGGACACAACCATCAGGAGGTTTTAAATGTCTTTATCCACAAATTTTTCCCTTGTCTTTTTAAGATTTTCATTAGCATACTTATTTAAATGAAAGGCACTAAAAAAACATCTCTAACCACTTAATGTGGTTAAGTTTTTTACAAATATTTTCTCATAAGAAGCACTCTTTTAGACTAAAAATGTCCAACCCAAAGGTTACTAGAAATTGAGTAAGAAAGCTCATTTTTTCCTTTTCAAATAGAATTTTACCTAACTTATAAAACAAAAGCTTGCTTTATATAAAATATTAGATAAGCCTATAAATTGGTGAATGCATATTCAATACTGCCCTCCCCTGCCCCCAGTCCTTTCCAAACCTCCACAGGCACAACCACAGGCCTCTCTGGAGTGCTATCTCAATTTCTACTAAGAAAAAACATCCAGCATGGAAGTAGCTGATTTGCAATGCTAGCCAAAGCCAAGATTACAGTGAAAATACCCTGAACTAACTAAGATCCTAAAAATGATCAGGATTTAAGAAAAGTTGTAAGTGGCTTAGTAAACTGAAAACAGACTTCTTAAAGAATTTCTCCACCGACCCCAAGAAGCCACCGGCCCACACTATCTCATTTTAGTTACTGGGTAGTTCCATGGAGTCCACGAGGAATACGCTCCAGAGAGCCAGGATGGTGAGGAGAGTTTTCACGTGCATTTTGGCTGACTCAGGCCTTTAACCTAAAAATACTCTCTGCATTTACAGTCTTAGGAACTTCAGCGCAGCCTACACACCACTCACCTCAGCCACCTTTATCGTCGTTATTTTGTTAAGTTTAATAACTACAACCATCTATACCAGAAACACACCTGAATTAATTATAAAACCCAAGTTGCTCATTATAGTTGACTATCTAAATGCCATTTCTATGACTGCTCAGATAGTTCATAATCAACAATAACAGCTAAAATTTACTGAGTATTTAATGCGTGCCAGGCACCGTGGTGGTGTTAACATACATTATTTCATGTAAAGCCAACCATTAACTCTGATATAGGTGTGACTGTTATTCCCATTTTACGAATGAGAAAACTGAGGCTTGAAGAGCTTAAATCATTTCTGAAGGTCACACAGGGAACAAGTGATGGCATCTGGAGTTAAAAAGTAGGTAACTTGACTTTAGAATTCATACTCTGAACCCGTATGTGACCCTGCTGGACACTGTTGTTTCTCCAGCCATTCTGAATCCTAAGAATCCTATAGTGTAAATTAACCACACCTGTGAATCCATGTTTCTGGACTCTTTGGAAATTTAGTTAAGGCCAGTTTTCCCAGATGTAAGTCCTTAACTGGATGTAAAGTGCCAGAGAGGATGAGCTCTTTTCTGTAAAAGAAAAATGAAAAGAACCATTATTCTACCTTTCCATCCAAACATACTGCATGGCTATTAACATAATCTCACTGGGAAGAAAAAAAATAAGACAACATGAAACTCTCATAAGTATCACACATGGTAATCAAGAATATATTCTTGTAATCTCTAAGTAACAGGATTAATAAGCAGAAATAGAAGCTCTTAAATCAATAGTGGAACTTTAGTTACCTATTTGGGAAAGGGCAAAGAGGTTTTCTGGCTTGTCTCATTTCCAAAACTTACAAGGCCTGACATCAGTATCTGTAGGGCAGATCCAGTACTAGTCAAGAATTGTTCTAACTTCCCAAGTTGGACATGATATGATTCATTACCAAAAAATACATAAAGAGCAACACACACAGCATGATTAAGATGGAAAGAATCATTCACTACCCTAACAAAATTACTATTTTTATTTTTCAGTTTTCCCTTCTGTCTTTCCTCATATGCATATACATTTTAACATATAATTTTATATTCTGCTTTATAGCTTAAGAATTATTCCATGGTGCTACATAATCTTTAAAGCGAACATTTAAATCGGTCAGGTAGTTTTCACTGAGTACTCTGTAATTTCATGACCTTTTCCTCTTTGGTTAGACATTTAGGTTGCTGCCAAGTTTTTGCTTTTCTGAAACAGAGCTTTGTGCTTAAGATGTCTTTCATTTCTGCTACTTAGGAAAGTTCCCAAAAGATGTTATTACCAGGTGAACTACCTGCATGGCCCTTGAGACACTAGACCATTTCTTTCTGAAATACAAATAGAAGTAAGAGCAACGTCAGGTTTTTGTTGCTGTTTTCAAAGTGTTCAAAGCTGCCATGTAATTATAAAGAACGTCATGAAAGAGCTCTCCACCTATTATTTCCCAAGTATATACGATTTAGGTTTTGATTTAATTTCTCAGGTATGCTTTTGATAATAAGCTCTGCTCTTACTGATTATACTCCCAATTAACTTTCAATGTATCTATTATAATAAAATTAGGTCATTTACTAGACTTTATTAATCTTAAAAAAGTCCTTCCTGTGGTAGGGTTGATAATTCATTTATTTTAGAGAACTTTAGTTCCAAGAAGACCAGAGCCCAGATCCTATATCTCACCTACTTAGATGAATTTACTTCCTAATTACCACCATGCATTGTCTTTCCAACAGCAATGTGCCATTTCTAGATTTTTATTTGATAAGGAAAATAACTTTCTTTTTAGTGAAAATACTGAACAGTGATGACAAATATTTGTATTTTACAATCATTTTAGGTCAGGCACTTCATTCCAGGATATGATTTCAAGTGATACTGAGAAGGTTTATGGGTACTTTAACAAATGGGTTTATTGGCTGTTTTTCTTTCAATGCACAGGAAGCCTATGTGTCACTGAAAGAGGATTTAATGCAACAGCCAATTACTTTTGCAGTCCTGCATCATTCTTCTTCTGAAATCAGTAATGTTTCATTATACAGTAAGTCAGGATACCTATAGTGTTCAAAGGAGGCAAAATAATATTCTGTATAATTTTAACTTCTTTGTAATGCAGTGTTTCTCAAAGTAAGGTCCTTAACTGCAACATTACCATCATCTGGAACTTGTAAGAAATACAGATTCTCAAGCCTCATCCCAGACCCGCTGAATCAAAAACTAGTGACAAAGCAATGTGTTTGAACAAGTGCTCCAGCTGATGCACACAAAGTTTAAAAACCTCTATGGTACAGAATTTACTATATTAAGCCTAATTTCCATTTACTAAATTTAAAACCTCTCCTTATTACAACTGCCTACCTATACTCCCATATATATCTATGGGGAAATAGTCAAAATTTTCTTCAGAAAAGAGGAGTCACTTTATACCTGAATCTTTAAAAAGTTTCTTCAATTAGGGCTCCTTTAAAAAAAAAAAGAAAGATTTTATTCATCTTGAGAGAGAGAAAAAGAAAGAGAGAAAACAGGGGGAAGGGCAGAGGTAGAGGGAGAGGGAGAGAGAGAATCTCAACCAGACTCCGCGCTGCACGTGGAGCCGGACGCAGGGCTCTATCTTACAACCTGAGATCATGACCTGAGCCGAAATCAAGAGTCAGACACTCAACCCACTGAGCCACCCACATGCCCCTAGGGGTGCTCTCTTAATTTATTTTGCACAACATATTTGGGAAGAGATCTTAGCCTGAAACAACCCCAATCAAAGGTATACGTGGATGCTTAAAAAGATCACCTGACAGAATCATAAAAAAGGAAGCAAAATTTAAATATCAATTTAATAAACATTCTTGGGGACAGGACTGAACGCTGTAGATGTTGAATATTACCATAAACAAATTTTTTTTTAAATAATCTTTTTTTTCCTAAAGATTTTATCTATTTATTTGAGAGAGAGCACGAGTGGGATGAGGGTGCAGAGGGAGAAGCAGGCTTCCCGCTGAGCAGGGAGACAGCCAGATGAGGGGCTTGATCCCAGGATCCTGGAATCATGATCTGAGTCAAAGGCAGACATTTAACCAACTGAGCCACCCAGGAGCCCCATAAACAAAATTTTTAAAGATCACTTGAAAAAGGAATATAGTAAATGATTACATTATAGCTATCACTTAAACAAGAGATACAATAAAAGAAAATCAACTACTGGAATGCATTCAAGTAGGGATCTATCTTGAGAAAAATTTCAGTCACACATGGATTCAAAAAGTGCTATATGTATCTCAAACAAGCTAGATATATGCACACATAATGTGCTCTGGAAAAAGGCTGGATAAGTTGAAAAAAATAACTCTTGTGATGACAAAATCACTGATGTCAATAAGCCACGTGAGACATTTGAATTAAATTGTTTAATGAAATGTAAGAAAATGATGAATAATTAAAATACTTCACGTTATTTTAAAGGTATGTAACTAAATTTAAAAAGTAAGTATCATATTAAGACATTTGCTTATTTCATGCACATACCTTTAAGTTTACATATTATTATTAGCCTAAAATTTTTTTCTTGGACTTTTCTTATTGAGGAAGTGGAGTACTGCCTTAAATTTGAGGTAGCTTTATTTTCAGGCACATTGACTAAGCTGGGCTTTGAGATTCATCCTGAAAGCCTTAGGTGATACACTGCAAACAGAGAACGAAGGAATAAAACAAAGGTCAAATAAATGTGGGGGAGAAGTATGTAGGAAAGGAAAAGGCCACATATGTTGTAAAGAGGAGGGGGTGGTAGGGAACAGGGCCATGCTGTATGTGTAACCTTGTTGTGGCATATTCCATGAAGGTTGGTAGAGCATGAGACTCTTGATCTCATGTTGTAAGTTCGAGCCCCACACTGGGTATAGAGATGACTTAAAAAATAAATAAAAATCTTAAAGTTTTAATCTGGGAATTGTTTTAAATTTACACTAAGGTTGTTAAGGACAGTATAGAGAACTCTCATATACCCTGTACCAGCTTCCCTTATTAATAATATATTATTATGGTACTTTGGTCGCAATTGATGAATCATTACCAGTAAATTACTACCGAAAGTCCATACTTTATTCAGAATTCCTTAGTTTTTACCACATGTCCTTTTTCTAGTCCAGCATCCTATCTAGAGTATCACATTATATTTGGTTATGTCTCTACAGGCTCCTCCGATTATACCTTGCCATTTTATGAGTACTAATCAGGTATTTTGTATGATGTTTTTCTTACGGTTAGACTAGGGTTTTGAGGAGGAAGAGATCACAAAAGTGCCATCTTTATCACATCATATCAGGGGCACAAAATACCAGCGTGACTTGTCACTGCTGATGCTGACCTTGATTACCTGACTAAGATGGTCTGTGTCCAGTTCCTCCACTGTACTTTTTGGAAGGAAGTTACACTTAAGGAGGAAGGGAGCTGGACTCCAACTCCTTGAAGGGGGTTGCCTAGATAAATTATTTAGAATCCTTCTATATGAGAGATTTGTCTGTTGTCTACTATTTGTTTGTTGCTTCTTCAATTATTTATGTCAGTATGAACATCCATTTTACACTTTAGGGCATAACCCAATATTATGTTATTTTACTGTTCAAATTGTTCCAGCTTTGGTCACTAGAAGCCCTTTGACATAGTTCCATCATTTTGTTTTTTGAGCACTTCCTTACTTTTTGGCTCTTTGAGATGTTCTAGATGAATCTTATAGATTTCCTGCCCTGGTCCTAGAATCAGACATTTCCTCAAGAAGCCTATTTCCATTTATTAAAGAATGGTGTAAGACACCAGGATCTGGATGCTTAGGTTGAACTATTTTTGTTTTATAAAAACAACAATTTCATATGGCACAACTTAGTATTATCTCAGTTTTACTGATGAGAAAACTGAAGCTGGGGGAGAATTAGTAACTTATACTCAAGGTCTGTGAACTCAGAGTGCCAGAACCAAACATCAAATCTGCATAAAATAAAGTCACCAATTGTAATAGGCTATGAGTAAAGGACATGATCACTGAAGCCTGGTGTTAGCTATTTTAGTTACTCAAAGAGGTTTTGCTTACTCTGTGTTCACAGACTGACAGAAAAAATAGGACACCGTTATGAAGTCAAGCTCTTTCACAAAATAATACACTGAATTTCAAAGCAAAAAAAGTACCAAATTTTTCTATAACAGGTAGATTTTAAAAGTATATCCATCACTCACTGTAATTACAGGCAATCAACTCAAAAACCTATACTTGCATCTGTTTTTTCCCTAAGACCACAACACCTATAAAATGAACGACTGATGTATTAATACTATCTTCTAGCAGTTTATAAAATACAGTTAAAAATCACTCAATGCTTCCCAGTTACTGCAGAAGAAACACACCAACAATTAAACATGACGTGTTAAGTATTTGATTTGCAAGTGATCTTATAAGGTTAGACCAATTTACTTCCAAAGCTGGTGGTTTTTGCATAAAATGTACTACTGATTCTATGTCTTCATGTTAATTAATTTTACTAATACAAATTAAAACTTACTAGAATACATATCCACAATGCATCTTTTTAAAAATCAAGGTTTCCTTTTTATTCATCTAGCACAAAACTATATTTCTTTATTTTAAAGATTTTATTTATTTGACAGAGAGAGACACAGTGAGAGAGGGATCACAAGCAGGGGGAGTGGGAGAGGGAGAAGCAGGCTTCCCGTGGAGCAGGGAGCCCGATGCGGGGCTCGATCCCAGGACCCTGGGATCATGACCTGAGCCGAAGGCAGATGCTTAACGACTGAGCCACCCAGGCGCCCCTAGCACAAAACTTTATTAATCTTACTAGAATACTTTTCAAAATCAACTGCTGTGAATATCACTGAAGTTAGATTACGCAGCCATTTTCCCTTTACACAACCAAACCACAGAAAATCACAAAACAGTTTGAAAGGAATCATAAAAAAATTACCTAGTTCAAACCTTTTCTTTCACAGATATAGAAACTAAAGCTACTCTGAAATTAAATCTTTTGCCTCAAGTCAACTGCTAGTTAATTAATGAAAAAGGACTAAGAGCCACATATCTGAAGACTAGGTTCTTTCTCCTACATTGAGCTGCCCTATAAAATATACAATAAATTATATATATGTGTGTGTATATATGTATGTATATATGATTATATATGCATGTATTAGACTAGTAAGAATCGTTTCTTGTTGAAGGATTTTTCAAGTCCTCTATAATAATGAGGAATTGGAGAACATGAATAAAAATGGTACTCCTACTTCTCTATTACCCTCTTTTCATTTTCACTGAACTTAATTATTTTCAGTGCCCAGTCTGCAAACTGAATTATGTGCCAGGCACTAGAGGGCTGGATGCTAGGAAAACAAAGGAAAACAAAAAGACATGATCCCTACCCTTAAGAAAGCTCTCAGTTATAAGTTCATGCACCCTCCTAAAAGTCTCCCTTGCTGATTCTTCCTCGTCGCACAAACTCTAGAACAGTGCTGTCCAACAGAAATATGTGAATCACCAATGTGAGCCATGTATGTAATTTCCAATTTCCCAACAGCTACATAGGTACCTCAAACAATCTCATGGCCTTAAATACCACCCATTTTCTAGTGACTCCCAAATTTCTATCAGGCTTAGAACTTCTGCCTCAACTTTAGATTCCTGCACACAAACCTAACCTGTCCCAAACTGAGCACCTGACTTCCACCTGGCACTCCCCACCTCAGTTTGCTCCTCTTCCAGACAGAGGACTGACTCTTTCTGTAAAGGGCATCTCCATCCTTTTAGTTGCTCGGGCCAAACACCGGAGTCCAGCTTGACCCTCTTCCTTCTTCTTCCTGCATCTAGTTCATCATCTGTCTTTAAAACTGTTTATTAAATATGGCCAAAGCTTATATACTTCCTAAAATACAGTGAGAATCATTACTTCTCACCTTTTCTACTGCTCAGTTAGACTTCAAGTCACAAGCATCTCTCACCTAAATTACCACAACCACTACCTAACTTCCAACCCCTCCCTGCACTCCTACAGTCTACTTTCCACAGGACCTAAACTTTTTAAACCTAAGCGAGATACTGTCCCTCCTCAGCTTTTATGACTTCTGATCTCACTCCAGGTAGAAGTCCAAGTTCCTCCAGCAGCGTAGGAAGATCAACAAAGCCCTATGAGGTATGGTCCATGACTCTCTCCCTCGTGCACGCTACTCCAGCAACAGCAGGTACTGGCTGTCTTGCTGTCCCAGAACACCAAGGAACACTTTCAGCACCACTGAGAGCCTTCCCACTTGCTCCCGTTCCCTCTGCACGGAATGCTCTTACCCCAGACACCACAGACTGATCCCCAAATCAGGCCAGTCTTTGCTCTGATGTCCCCTATGTAAAACTGCAATACTATTCTTCCCACTCTCTCTCTGGTCTTCCCCACTTTCTTGTCCCACTTTTTCTCCACAGGATTTAACCACCACTTGATTGCATGTATATTTTATTTAGTAATGTCTTTCTTTTCTTCCCCTAGTAGAATAAAATTCCACAAGGACAGGGTTTTGTTCATAATTCTATTTCCAGTGCCTAGAACTCAGCAGATAGCAATCAATAAATATTTGATAAATGAACAAATGCTGTCAAGTATTGTGTGGATTAAATTAGATCATGAATAAAGCTGTAATATTGTCCCTATAATACAGTAGCCACTCATGAACATTAGTCTTTTCCTTACCTGTGGTGGTGCTTTCCATAAAAGAAAAATCAGAATTCTAAAATTATGTAAATTTTAAAGCCTTATATCTCATTCTATACTTCTCTTACTCTTTACTCTAAATATGTGATCATTAATTATTCAAAAGACAACTTAAAAAGACATATAATAGAAATTGCCTAATTTTTAAAAATCAGTAGGTAGATACAAAATTCAGTAGGTATCATAGAACACTAACTCAGAATGTAACCTTGCTTAAAATACACAGAAAATTGAATAAAGTACTGTTTAAGTCATCTTTAAAGATTAAGAACCATAATTTATGGCTCTCTCCTACTGGAAAATTTAAAATGCATTCACAGTGTTCAACAGAACTTCACTTTTATTCCTCTAGAACTTTATCCTGCTTTCCTCTAGGAGAATTTGTGTTAGTCTAAGAGACCACCATTTTTAAAAAAAAAACCATACATACTGTTTAACTGAAAAAACTTCAATGAAAAAAAAATGAACCTGGTCTCAACTTTGGTATTTCTATATTTTGTGTTTAAAGCTAAAATAACTAGATTAAGGAACTAAGATATTAATAAAACGTGATCCCTTCCCAAAATACTGAGTGCCAGAGACTTCAAGTGATTGGCTCACAGAGGTCACAATGTTAGTGACTAAACTGAGACGAAAAAGTCATAGGCTTGAATCCTCATCCTACATACTTCCCACTGCACTTCACAAATATATAAACCAATGCCTTACAAACCAACCAATTACACTAGCTGCCCCTACTCCTCTAAAAAGGAAGGAAAATAAAAACAAATGGTATACTGTAATTTGCAATGATAATTTCTATTTCAGACAGGAAAGTTTGTGGAGAAAAGACAGAAACATGCACAAAGGAGCTAAGTGTAAGTCAGAATTGTCCCAGAGATATTATAAAGATTGGGTAGAAGAAATAAGCATAAAATGCCATAGATACATGGTTTATATTTCATTTTTCAAAAAGATGACAACTCATGGGGTTTACAGTTTTTCAGAAATTTGGACAATTTCATTTTATCACTGATGAGAATGACGTACCTTACGTTCCATGCAGTGGTAAAGTCTGGGTTTAGAAGCAGCAGGGTGCATGTGACATCTATCAGTTCTAAAATAAAGAGAAATCACATTATAAATAGTTCTACCCTTTGAAGCTTGGCTTTTCTTCAAGACCTTGTATATCTGTATCTTATCTTATGTTACTAATGTATATATACCATGTCATAGTAATTTTAATGGTAGATGCTCTGTTCTAAGCTGCCAAGACTTTTTTCTACTTTATGATAAAAATAACTCTTAAAAGTTGACACTGAAACAACTTTACAATACAATATGCCTAGAAAGACTATTCACTCATTCTTTTAAGAGTTTTTGGCTCTAATTTAATATTGACCAAGGAAAAGAAATAAAATTTCCATACCGTTATTCTTTTAATTCCACAAACATTTCAATAATAGTGCAAATTTTCAAAAGGGGAAAAAAGACCCACTCATAATCATTTAAAACAATTCATTTACATTCTCCTGCAAAGATTATCCTTTCTTACCCATATTTTTACATAGCCGTAGCAATGATAAATGCACCACTTTGTTCTCTTTTTTTCTGTCAATATTATTTGACATGCATTCTCCAATATTGCTACAGTATGCATTTTTAACAGCTTTATAACAATCCCTTAGTGTAATATACTAACATTTATCTTTATTATTCTTTAGGCTTTTTCCTGTTTGTTTTTACTACTATAGTTAATATTACTAGAAACACACTTTTTATCTCACAGATTATTTTCTCAGGACATAATTCCAGGAGTTGAACTATTATGTCAAACAATATAAATACCAGTATGGCTCCTACTAAGCATTTCCAAACTGTCCTTCAAATGAATGGTATCTATTCATATCGCCAAGAGTAACAGGAGTGCACTTATGTCCCTGTAACTCTAACCTATATAACCGCATTTAAAAAATGAATGCATCAGATAAAAAATACTTTATTTTACAACTTTATAACCATTAATATGAACGTTTTTTCCTTTTTCTTTAGTATTTTCTATTTTCATTTTTTAACAGCCTATTCAATATTCATTAGCTATTTGGTGATCATGGTATTGACAGAATTCCCATATATTCAAATAAGCTCCATAAGCTTGTTTAATAGAGCAAAATCAGGGGCACCTGGGTGGCTCAGTCGGTTAAGCGTCTGCCTTTGGCTCAGGTCATGATCCCAGGGTCCTGGGATCGAGCCGTACATCGGGCTCCCTGCTCCTCAGGGAGCCTGCTTCTCCCTCTCCCTCTGCCTGCTACTCTGCCTGCTTGTGTTCTCTCTGTCAAATAAATAAATAAAAAATCTTAAAAAAAAAAAAACAGAGCAAAATCAGTAATATAGTTAGACATACTGTCTTCATTTTACTAAAACTGAAAAGAGAATTTTAGGATTAAGATGACCAATGTAGGGGCATGAAATTAAGGGAACTTCTACCAAGCTCATATTAAACACAAAGTAAAATAAAATAATAAAAATAATTATAATTATTTAGCATTAGTGTATACCAGATACCACTGGAAGTCCTTTATTTACATTATTTCACTGAGTTCCCATGATTATGGTTCAAGATATTCTTGTTTTGCTTCAGAGATAAGGAAATTGACATTTAGAGAGTTTAAATAATTTGTCCCTGGGCACCCAATTGGTATATGGCAAAGTCAGCATCTGACTATTTTTAATAACTCAATTACATGGCAATTAAAACACCTGTCTATAATAAATAATGGGGACATCTCAGTGTTTAATAGACTTTTTAAAACATAAGAACATGCATGGGGCGCCTGGATGGCTTAGTCAGTTAAGCACCTGGGTGGCTCAGGTCATGATCTCAGGGTCTTGGGATCAAGTCCCACATCGGGCTTCCTGCCTAGTGGGGAGCCTGCTTCTCCCTCTGCCTGCCACTCCCCCTGCTTGTGCTCTCTCTCTCTCAAATAAATAAAATCTTAAAAAAAAAAAAAAAAGAGCATGCATAAATATACCTCTATAGTCATTTTTATTTTTTTTTAAAAGATTTTATTTATTTATTTCACAGAGAGAGACACAGCGCGAGAGGGAACACAGGCAGGGGGGAGTGGAAGAGGGAGAAGCAGGCTTCCCGCCGAGCAGGGAGCTCGATGCAGGGCTCAACCCCAGGACCCTGGGATCATGACCTGAGCCAACGGCAGACGTTTAACTACTGAGCCACCGAGGTGCCCTACCTCTATAGTCATTTTAAAATACTCTAAGTGAACAAAAAAATCAATTATTTCATTCTCAACCATCTTAATAAAAGAAATTAACAATTATTGTGAGGCTATGATTTCATTACTGTAACATTCAATAAATGATACGATTAGCATACATTTTTGACTTCTATCTTCCTCGTTACAAGTCATTATATGCATAAACACAGTATGTCCGTAAAGAATAATCTAATTAACCTCTTCATTCTTTTACTTTTAAGAAGCTTTTGGCACTAATTTAATATTTACCAAGAAAAATATAATTTTCTATACCATTATTTAATTCCACAGTATCCCAAGTATTAATTATGTTCAAATATTAAACTGGGACCTTAGGACTGACAGAAGGGATATAATGATAAATAAGACCTAATCTTGCCTTCTAAAAGGTTACCCTTTAGTTGGAGAGAACATACAAAGAATTATATAAGACAGAATGAAATAATTATGAACTGGAAACATATACCATATTTTGGGAACCATCAAAGCAGTTGAAATTAATTCTCACTGGAGTACCCAGGGAAGGCTATAAATGAATGAAGTGGTAAAGAGCACTGCAGACTGGAAAGAAGGAGCAAGGATAAAGAGGCATGGAAGTTCACACAGGGTGCTCTCCAAGAGATTGTGGGTATCAGAGCTTGACTAGAGCACGAGATACTGGGGAAATGTGCCAGAAAACTAGAACCTGGTGAGAAACAAGAACCCACAATCTCCTTGTCAGCCTCCTTTCTACTACCTGCCCTTCACGTGCTATACTCCACCAGAGCCAAACCCTACCATTCTCTAAACACAACTCCTATCTGACTACCTTCTCTGGATAATTCAGATTTACCTGCTTGCTCTTCTCTGCCAGAAATGTTCTCCTAGATCTGAATATCAAAACAAAACAACTTTCTTCATAAAGTCTCTCCTGACCTACCTACCTGGAAGCAATCTTTATTTCTATGTTCTGTATGTATCTTACTTTGTTACTGATATTGTATAAATAATCTCTTCTTGATGAGACTACATTTTCTGGAGGCAGGTCCTCTCTAACACATCTTCAGATTACTCATTCACTTAACAAAGATGAGAAAAATATGGCCCCTGTCCAAAAGAAGTTCCATGTGTACCCACAGCATAGAGGAGTTGTAAGCCATGCCACCTGGGTTTGAATCCCAGCTTCTCCACTTAATTGATTTTGTAACATAATGTTTTCGAACTTCAGTTTCCTTATCTGTGAAATAAGGATGATGAGAACATCAGTCTCTGTTGTGAGCCAATGAGATTCATTCCAGTTCTCCACAGCTATTTGACACACAGTGAATACTCAACCAAACCAAAGATTTGTTCAACGAAATACCATTGCCACTTACCAAGAAATGAATACTTTCAACATTAATCAAAGAAATCAGAAATGAGGCTGTTGTTCTTACAGTGAAACTATCTAAATTTCTAAACTTATAAAAAAAGGAATGAAAAAACCAACGTGTTAAGGAGCTATATGGAAATGCTTCCACATGATGGGAAGACTTCTAGAATTTCTTTTCAAGTCTACAATTTTTCAAAATCCATTATACTACCTAGGTAACCTGGTGCTTATTGGACTCTCCCTTTTTGCATTAAGAAGAAACGTGTGTAACCAACGGTAGTCGCCATTTGTTTGTACAGCTGACCCCTGAACAACATGGGTTTGTACCTCACGGGTCCATTTATATGCTACTTTTTTCCAATAAATACAGTATAGCACTGTAAATGTATTTTCTCTTCTTTATGATCTTCTTAACATTCTTTTCTCTAGCTTACTTTATTGTAAGAATACAGTAAATAATACATGTAACATACAAAATACGTGTTGACGATTCATGTTATCAGTAAGGCTTCTGATCAACAATAGGCTGTTACTAGTTAAGTTTTGGGGGACTCAGAAGTTGTACGCATATTTTTGAATGCACTAGGCATGGTTGAGTCCAGCGCCCCAATCCCTGCATTGCTGAAGGGTCAATTGTACTTCTAACACAACTCTCCTCTCCCACTCATAATTGAAGACAAGTCCATCCTCCAACACAGAGATACTTCTATATAGCAAGGCAAGGCAGAAACCAGTAAACACAGAATATACCCAAGTTGCCACTTTTCATTTTGTGGCTGTGTGGAAAGGAAAGCTAATCAAAGTAAGGCTTCCTCTACCAGAGGGACTCACCCTACCTGGTAGGGCAACAGCAATTGCTGGATTCAAAGCCCAGCTCTAACAATTCCCAGAAAGTTCCTGGGCAAGTCACTTAATCTCTCTGTGCCTCTGTGTCCTCCTCATATGTAAAATGGAGCTAATAATTGTACTACCTCATGGGGTATTAAATGATTCACACTCATGAAGCGTTAGGACAATACCTGACACACAGTAAGCACTCAATGAGAATTCCAGTTTCAAAGCCTGTATCTCCTAGCCCAGTTCCTGGGATTGGATGCCACCAGAGGGAGGAAAACAATCTCCTAAGCTCGCTAAGGAGTGACTCCTGAGCAGGTTATTTCTCACCTTCTCAGCATCTCAGGATTTAAAACATCAACACCCTCATGGGTTGTGCATAAAACACATACAGCCACAAGCCCCTTTTCCCTTCTCTCTGACAAACTGCCAACTCCTCCCCACTCAGGACTCAAGTTCAGATAGGACCTCCTTCAGGAAGCATTCCAGTCCGATCCAAGAGGTGCGGGTGAAGTGAAATTTCAGAAATGGGAAAGGGCCAAAGAAAGAGAAGTAACCAGTTTAGAAATATTGGACATAATTAAAGAATCATTCCCGAATTACATGTATTTTTCTTTTTTTCTTCCTCACTGGTTCTGGTTAAATCAGAGAAAGGAA